GGGGTGGGGTGGGGTGGGAGGTTAATGTTCATGTTACGTTCCTGATGTTACGTTGATCATGGGGTGGAGTGGGGTGGGATGTTAACGTTCATGTTACGGGTGGGATGTTAACATTCATGTTACGCTCATGATGTTACGTTTATCATGGGGTGGGGTGGGGTGGGATTTTAACGTTCATGTTACGCTCATGATGTTACGCTCAGATAAAGTTGCAGGTTTTGAAACCACGACGCTCCATGCAGCAGCTTGTTTTCCAATCTTGAGCCATAGGCCCACCAAGTTCTCTGTGACGTGCGTGTCATCCTTATGCAGGGGCCCTGAGGCCTAATCAGCTGTTTCCAAGACTGACCCTTTACAGTCTGACAGCTTCAACCTACATCTTCACAGTGCGTGTCATCCTTATGCAGGGGCCCTGAGGCCTAATCAGCTGTTTCCAAGACTGACCCTTGACAATCTGACAGCTTCAAAGTTTCAAAAATCAGGGGCTGGTGCAGTTATGTTACCGCACTCCCCCTTTTCCTCGCGGAAAACAAAAACCCCGGCTCTCAGTCTTCCTCCTCATCCTCAGTCACAAGCTCCCAATCATGGTCTTCCCCAGGTCGAAAACTCCTTGGCATCACGGCTTGTCCTCGAGCCTGGATCGATTGAGGTCTTCCGTAACGGCTGCTTGTCTCACTTCTGCGGCTCACCACTGGTTGGTCTTCGGCGGCGAAGCTTCGAGCAGGGCCGTGCACCATTGAGGACTCGGTGGTTGGAGTCGGCGACGTCATACCGACAGGGGCCCATACCCAACGCTTCACCCACATCGGCATAGTTGTGCAAGCGGGGCCCACTCTCAGACCCGGCGGGTTGGAGTCGGCGACGTCATACCGACAGGGGCCCATACCCAACGCTTCACCCACATCGGCATAGTTGTGCAAGCGGGGCCCACTCTCAGACCCGGCGGACCGGTTGACTTAGATGTGGACTCGCCTGCCCACCATGACTTCCAAATCGGAGTGGCCGCCTTCATCTCCTTGGTAGTTCCCCAGGTAGCCCGCTCGAGGGCCCAGCCTCGACCCCGAAGCGGTAGGTGCCGTTGTTGGTGCTCTCCTCGTTCGGAACAGCGTATAGCCGGTCCATTTCTATTCACGGTTCTTCAGGACCGGATCCATCCAGGAATCTTCTAAGACACTCCGGTTCCCTGTAGGTCCAAAACGAACCTGCACCCTCAATAGTTCCAGGTCGGCAGCAGCACCACAGGGCAAAGTACCCTTCAAGGGGTGGAAAGGCTGCCAGCGTGGCTTGACATGGCATTTCAAGATCCACATCACGCCGCCTTCCTCCATCACCCTCCAGTGATCCTTGGGGCCAGTAGGCGAAGCAATCAAACGGCCACCTTCCCAAGGCCTCGCAGCAGCAGCCGCCGCAGTAGACGCCATGGCCTTCAGCACAGGTCGCGGCCGGTTGGATGGGCAGCCCTGCGGGCAGTGGTTCACTTGAGGTGAGGTTGGCCACACAGCTGGCCTTTTACTACCTTCAAGTTCAAACGCCTTTCCACCACGTTCCACTGCACCTACCATCGACCCATCAAACAACCCAAAAGGGGGCCCTTCGTGGTTTTTTGGCTCACTCCCAAAACAGTTGGGGGATTCCCCAAAAGGTTGTGGATTTTCTGAAATTGGTCCCAGTTCATGTTCCTTGGGCCAATTTGAACCACCGGGTTCACCTTTCACCCTCGGAGGTTCCTCCTTCCTTTTTTGAGCTGGTTCGTTCTCCCTAGCTTCTTGAGTTTTCTTTTTCAGGCCATTGGCTCTTTTTATTTCTTCCTCCCCCCTCTTCTCAACCTTTGCAGGATCAGCAAGGGCAACTACAGTCCCAGCTGCCTCGGCACGTCCAGCAGCTATCCAACGCCAAGCCGAAGTCAGCGCCGTCAGCATCACCGAGCAAGCCGCCCGCAGCCGCCCGCCAGTTTCAGCTGCCGCCCGCGCCAGCGCCTTCATGAGGTCCACAACTTGGTTGAAGGAGTGGAAGTGGTCGTCCACAGGTACCTCAGTCGCCATCCGCACCTTAGTCACCTTAGGAGCCAGGAGGTCAGACGAGCCAACATGAAAATTCAAGAAGACCCAAAACCGAACCCATTCAGTTTTTGACACTATTGGTTTGGTCAACAGATCCGCCACTAGTTCAGTACCCTTCAGGTGTCTCAAAGTCAGGTTTTCAGCGGGATCCTTCAAAGCTTCCCTAAGCCCTGAGGCTCTCAGTCTCAAGTGACGTGTGCGCCATCCTCCATCACTGTTACTAGCGATACTAATGGCACTACAATTATCACCATAAATGACTTTTTCAACTGGCCGAGGTGGTCCATGGGGGGCATTCAAGACTTCCAACAAGGCCTCAACCGACGACAGCATAAGCTTAGATTCACAGTACCCTACCAACTCCGACTCAGCAGTACTCAGAGTGTGGAACGGTTGCCTAGCTGCTTCCCACTGCACTGGAGAGCCCCCGAGGCACACCA